GAAGCTCGATATTCATGAATAACAGGAGAAGTGGAGATAAGATATAACCAAGTGACCGACTTCGCGTTAACCCTCATTCCTTAGGTTTCCAACTCACGCGACGTCGCGAGCTTTGAAATGAATACCTTTCTTATTTACTGTATATATTGTGCTATTGTGTTATATGTAATACATATTTATAGTATTTTGCTATATACTAAACGTTAGAAAGTGCTCTACTCACCTTGAGCAGCTGCGACTGCAGGCGACGAGAGTTTTCGGAAATGGTGTGTTCTCTCTTCAGTTTCATTGCAGTTAGTCTTCTCAATATAAGGATAGCGGTGTAGACTGGCGGACAAGGTAACGTCATGTGCAAAATGTTAGGCAGTACATTCCAGCTGAGAATATCTTGTTGACCGCTTACACATTCTGTGCTCATGTCGTAACCAAATGTTTTCTCAATTCGTGCCTTCAACTCAGCTTCATCCTCGTTGGCGGTACAGAATGTTATCTGAAAATATGAACTGAAATTTTTCTATCGTGTCAGAGGATTGGAGAACACCTAGGTTACCAACAGACTGAAAAATTTTGTATCGAAGCAATACTCAGGGCGCTGACAGGTAGTCGTGTTCGCTTTCTCTGTTGTTGCTCCCACATGGTTGTTGAGCCACGAATCTATTGTGTTTTGAGGCTTTAAAGGCTCTGTAACTTCAGCAAGCCATTCTTGGACAGCTTTACCCCAGAATTTTCTATTGACGACGTACTTCATCATATACACCATTTTCACTTTAAATTCACCACTTTTCAAACCAAATTCACCACTTTTCAAACCAAATTCACCACTTTTCAAACCAAATTCACCACTTTTCAAACAAATTCACCACTTAATGAATTCGACCGATTTAAAAGGCAATTCATGTCTTTTTTCAAAAGCAACTCCACCACATTTTAGACCGCCATATTGACAACCTATGTATCGAGCGAGTTCAGATCACTATGCCAGTTGACCCTATGCACTGATCTAGCTCTACTGTTGATCTTATTCAGCTGCCGCGAGCCCGCCCCGGTCGGCCTTACTGCCTCACTTATCAGTGGGGCGGTCATACAGTTGTCAAAATTGTTATTCTATAACTTCCTGGTATCTTGCTGGCTTTTTTGGCCTTTTAGCTGTTTGCAGCAGTATCTTGGTAGATCTGCGCACGACTCGGTCCACCGACGGTATGAGAGGGCAACATCGACATTTTTATAACTTTGTTTCTAAACGGTCATAGTTTGGTCTTTCTCTACCTTTTGCCCCACCTTCACTGCCAACGACTACTTGTGACGGCGGAATCTATGGGCAGATGTACCTTTTAGCTCTGGCCTCTCGGATGACCGCCCCTTCCGCAATTCGCAAAATATTTGATATTGTTTTATGACAGAATTTTTACATTTTTTGGGATGGCTTAGTCGAGCTCCGCTGCCTCTAAGAACCTGCCTCGCACTTCATGTTTTCCTCTAAGACAGCACCGCACTTTTGAAAATGCTTGAAATTTATCTAGTGCTAACACTCCCGTAGCGGGTAGATAGATCTCTTCTTGCCACTCGGGAGCAAGAACAAAAACAAGCAAAGCCTTCTCTATACGGCGGACACTCTGACTTTGCTAATTCAATGGCGTGTCTCCATGCTAATATTTGGCTGCGCATTTTACCCACAGACATTCGGCCCGAGGCTACATCGCAGCTGGTCGCGTCCTCTCACAGCTGGTACCTTGGCGCTTCGTTGAGGCTATCTAGTGCGCAGCTGTAGCTGACTAGGGCGGCATAATTTGAAAAAGTTCAAGTCAAGTTGGCAACTTCCGTCTATGCAGTCTCTCTAGTGTGCTACATGATAGAGCTTACTCATGCACTTTATTTGTTTTTTATAACTTTTTTTCAACGTCATAGTTTTCTCTCCCACTTTCACCCAACGAACGTACTCGTAGAGGCGAATCTATGCACTGGTACTTTAGGCTCCGGCCCCTCGGCCACGCCCCTTCCGCGAATTCGCAAAATTTTGATAGTTTACAGAACTTTAGCATTTTTGGACTGCTAGGCGAAGCTCCGCCCACCTCTAAGAAGCCCCGCCCACTTTTGGAAAATGTTGAAATTTAGCAGGTTACACTCCCGACGGGTAGTTAGAGTCTCTCTTGCCACTCGAAGGCAAAAGAAAAAAAAAAAACAAGCAAACGCTGTTCCGATGACGGGCGACACTCTGACTGCTAATTAACAATGCTGTCTGCTAATTTGGGGCATTTTACCACAATGGGCGAGGCTAATGCAAAGTGGGCGGGGTCTCTCACAGTGGAGGGAGCTATCAGGGGCAGCTTAGCGAGGCGGCAAATTTGAAAAAATTTCAAAAAAGTTGGGCAAATTCGCGCAGAAATGCGGCGCCCCGCCCCCCCCCCCCCCCCCCCCCCCGCTCTCAGTGTGTACGTGAATAGAGGGTTACAGCTTTATTTGTCATTATGCGTTTTTTTTGATTTCGTATCCAGCTCTTTTTGAATCAGATTGAAAAAACTGTACATGTGTCTGAGCAATAGTGGGAAGTAAACTTACTCCTGCGGCAAAGTTTTGTGCATAGCCAGTGCCACGTAGGATACGGCAGCAGATATATGTATATCCACGAGTAGCGAGAAAACGACATTCTAGTGGAGCGTGAACACTACAAGAAGACGACTTCGGCGCAGAAGGAGATTCTCGTCAGACTTGTGCAAGTAGAGGGAAGATCGATCTGCGAGGCTGCACAATTTGCTGGTGTTAACGAGAATACAGCAAGGAGCGTTGTCCGTGCGTACAGAAGGGAAGGTGATGTTATCGAGCGCCGCCGTGGAGGAAACAACAGCGCGAACCTCCGACGTCCTGAGACGCATAGAAGACATCGTTGAACAACATCCGGAGGACACCCTGGCGCAGATACAGATACAGCAGCAACTGAAGGACGGAAACATTGAGTTAGCCGTGCAGGGCACATCATTGTTGGAGATTCCCCAACAGGGGGTCGTATTTGGCCGCTGGGAGAGGGGGGGGTCGTAATGAGTGCGGTAGCCAGTAACGAGCAGCGCAAAGGTGTCAGTGTGCTGAGTCCTGTACAGAAACTTGCTTTGTAGAGAATCCGGATATGTAAAAAATAGTACAAAACTTTCTTTGATTAAACTAATCAGAAATTAACTGGAAATATTAATAAGTCGACATCATCTCGTAAGTAGGTATATGGCTAAACAGTACAACTCATACCCTGGTCCGCTGCGGATGATGGGGCGTGTCTGAGCGACCGTGCTTGGCGCTGAGCCGACCTGTCTTTTTTTCTTGCGGCAAACCAGGACAAGACTACCATGAACCCAGACATCGACGAAACTTGACTTGTTAACGCGACATGATTGCCAATTAAGCGCGGTGATCTTTCAACTAAGCAATGGCGTGAGTATAGAGGAAGTCTCTATTATTCCTACGACGAACCGTTCGTCGTATTCGGAAAGGCTCAAAACTCGATGATCTCCACAATGCCAGTGATCGCGCGGGAATGGCGCCTATAAAATTGGAAGCTCCAGTGGCATTCGTTATCCGCTTACTCGTTTCTTATTGATCTCACATACACTCTCCGAATAAACATTTAATTACCCAAGTTTGAGGTCCCCGCCACCGAACTCTATATGTGCATGCGCCTATGAGGACGGACTCGAGCGACAATTGAAAGCGTACGAATCCTAAGAACAAGAGAAGACAAGACTCGGAGGACAAACAAGACGAAGTCAGCTGATGAGCGATTGTAGGATATCAGCTCAAAAGCATTCAAGGATATCGTCTAAGTGGTATTCGTAAAACAATGCACAGAGAGAAGTGGGTGTTAAAACAGCTTTAAAAATATATATAGCGTCAAGTATATATATTCAAACATTGGAACATCTTTACATTGGAACGTTAGTCGATAATCAATTGAAGTATCTCTCATGACCTCTACACTGGAAACTAGGCAAGGCCTTCTCACGCGCGCTAACGGCAGGCTGTCCGCGTTGCTGGAGGAGAGTGCCGCTTCTCCGGAGATGGCATCTCATCCAAATTATGAGCGATGGAAGCTCTTCACTGAAGATCGGTTGGCGGTACTTGATACCGCCCTCTATAACAACAGCGGGTGCTGGGTTGACACTGCGAACATTACCGTTTCGAGCTGGTTACCTACAAAAGTATGGAATCAGTTGAACCTTAGCGTGAGGCAATCAACAAAGATACTTCTGGAAAAGATGTTCCAATGTTAAAGGAAGAAAAGAAAGGAAACTCACAAAATGTGTTCTACGTCGTACCGAACCCCCCCCCCCTAAAAAAAGTAGGTGGGATCGTACGCGCTCGACCAAAATCCCCAACTAATGCTGTGCCCTGTAGCCGTGTCCACGATCTTCAACGCCCTGGTGAAGTTAAGGATTACGCTGAAGAGATGCCACTACGACTGCGTAAACAGTGAGACGACAACTGCAGGTCGGCAGGCTTATGCTCTCGACTTCTTAGCGCCGCAGGAGAAGGAGAAGTGGATCTTCATCGATGAGAGTGGACTTAACCTCCACCTGAGAAGGACACAAGCTCGCTCAAGGAGATAAACGCGAGTGAACGTTGTGCTGCTAAGGGTC